AAAAAAGAAATTAACAGGAATTAAAGTTCTCAAATCCCAGCAGCAGCATCTCAGTCGACTGCACCGTTAACTCTGCACGTTTCATCAAGGAAAGGAAAGTACTTGTCCCCTCTAAGAGAAAGGGCTCCCAGGAACCTTCATCTGTCCACCAAAACGCAGCCCTTTTTTAGCTAGTTACAAAAGAAAAGTTAAGTCCTGTGACTTCATGTGATTAAAAACCTCTATCAACCCCCCTTAAGTGCAACTTAAAAAAGTGCAACAAACTATTTAAAACTATATACAGCAGCTCAGAGATCGTTTATCCGGTCCAGTTTCAAATCCAAAAAAGCCTGTCCTGTTCTGTTGCAAACCCCCTCGATTTACAACTCCCCAGCCAGCAGCCCCCAGACACAAATTGCAATAATGTTAAAAGCTGCCAGGAAAGAAAAAAATCTCTCGTTTCAAACGACTTAAAAACTGTTTTAAGAGTGTAAAAAGGAACTGGTAAAAACCCTCGAGCGTAAAATATGAAATATGATTTGGTTTAAATGAAGAGCAAAGTCTCCTTTGTTGTTACAGTAAAAAACGCCAGCTGAACATTCAGTTTATGCCGTTCAGATGGGGGTTAAATGAATGGGAAGGCACTGTATGGCAACGGGAAACAATGGAGCCAATGAGACCTGCAGGATCACCATCAGTATTGCAAGGAATGTAAAAAAGCGCCTTGAATAAATAAAAAAACCTCGGTGAAGGCATCTGCATCAACACCTTCTTAACACGTGGCCCTTTTGCTATTCATAGATATATCTTTTTCTGTTTTTTTTTTCTTTTTTTTTCTTTTGCTTCTCATCAGCAAACGAGGAACCAAAGTCTGGGAACTGCGGAATCGCTTGAGGGGCGCTCCCCTCCCCCCCCTCTGAAACCCCCCCAAACAAAACCCGACAAAACTCACTGTGCATTAGTGCAGAAACAAAAAGACCAGCAAGTGCAAACGTGAATGTAAGATTTTTGTTTGTTTGTTGTTGCCCCACCCCCACCCCGGTAAGTCCTCAGGAGGAGCGTTCCCAGCCCGGTCGGCACCAGCGCCGGGCGCGCTCCCTACTCGGCAGGTTGTTCACAAAAGGACTTTTCTCCTGCACCCGCGGCGACCCCCCGAGCTCTGGAGGCCCCTTTAGCTGGAGTCCCTGTTCTTCTGGTTGCGCATCAGGGGGCGGTGGTGGCGCAGAACCTCCATGGAGTGCTGCCAGTGCCAGCAGGAGCGGCAGAAGTACTTGAAGCAGATCTGGGGGGGGAGAGCAGAGGGAACGTGTTGTGGGACAGGGGCTGCCGTGGGGGCAGGGGCTGCCCAGGCAAGTCAAAGGCACTGGAGAAGCAGCATCCCCATCCCAAGTTTCACAGCCCACACCAGCCTCTTGGAAGCAGAGGGAGGGAAATGGAATTGCAGTGATGCTGCCCAAGTTGTGCCAGGCTTCCCATGCAGCCCCGTTCAGAGATGGTTTGAAAAGCCAGGACCTGGGCACTGGCTGGAAGGTGCCTCTTGGGAGCAGGGAGAGGGCAGCACCCTGGCTCTGCCAGCACCCCCTGCACTCCTACTGCCTCCTCTCCCTGACAGAGGGCACCTGCCACAGCTCATCTCCCATCAGGATGCTGTGGGAAGCAAGCAGAGGCCAACCCTCCGCTTCGGGCAGCCCCAGGAGTGACAGCAGGGTGACAACGTGCCCAGCTCATCAGGGCCACAGGCCACTGTCCTCCACAAGCTCTGGCACCAGCACAGGCACCACATCCCAGCTCAGGGCAGGGTGGATATTTTTGCCTCCTGGCAAGCACCAGAGCTGCCCCCTCGACCCCCTGAAAACATGGGCCCACCTGGGGCTCCTGCAAGAAGACTTCATCCTCCCCACTCAGCCAGGAACAAGAGGCACCCCCAGACACTAAAGCAAACCATACTGCCATGGCAGAGCAAACTCCTCCTGAAGGATTTCTCTCCCCTCCAGAGCAGGAGACAGCCTCACCTGGTCTCTGCAGAAGAAAGGGCCAGGCTGGGTGCTGCACACTTGGCACATGGAGTCCTCCAGGTAAGGGTCAATCTGAACCTGTAGGAGAACCAGGCTGTGGGCACAGAGCAGTGCTGGGGCCACCTGCAGCCCCGCAACCCACTGCCCTGGGTACCCCAAACCCATCATCAGCCCCTCAGAGAGCAGCTCACCACCTCCCTCAGCCTCCACACAGGGCAGGCTGCATGGGTCGTGGTGCTCCCAGCACCCCCCATCAGGCACAGGTTCACCCCCCGGGCTGCCCCCTCAGCTCCACTTACCTTTTTAGTAAACTTGGTCGTTTTGATTTCCACAAACGCAGCAGACACGGCCTTCAGGTAACTGCGCTGGTTGTTGAAGGTGACACGGCCAGACCCTGCAACAAGCCAGACACCAGGGTCACACTGAGCCAGCACCTGCAGCAGGATCTGGGGGGGCCTCTGAGGGAGCTGCTGCCAGCACCACCCACCCCCTGGCACAGCTCAGCCACTGGCTGGGCAGCAGCTTTTACCAGGAGCTCATAGCCTGGTGGCTCTGCCTGCCTCCTTCCCCAGGCAGGAACAAAAGCCTAGCAGGCAGCTGGGAGCAGAAAGGCTTTTCCAGGGACACCTCCAGGCTGGGGAAGATGTGAGCTTATGGGCAGCAGCACATGGAGGGAGGCTGCCAGGGCACTGCTGAGGGCAGCACAGCAGCAGGCTCCACGCCTGCACCTCAAATAAGCTGGTGCCAAGACAGCTGAGCAGCTTTTATTTTAAGCCTCCCACTCATCCCAGAGCCTGGCATTTTGCAGCTTCCCTGCCAGTCAGCAGCATTCCTACACCACTCACTTCCAGCCAAGTTTTATTAAGCTCCAGGAAAACATCTCTGTGCTTACCTATGAGTTTCCTTCCTCAGTGGAAATGGCCTTGGCTGTTACAGGGCAGTCCTGGTTGCCCACAAAGCACCACCCACACCCCACCCACCTCTCCTGCAGCAACACACACAGGCTGGAGGGTCTGGACCTGCTCTGGGGTCATGCTGGGCACAGGGTGCTGTGCTCAGGGGGCTCCTCCCTCTAACAGGGTTAATTACATCCCCAAAAGCTGCCTGTGCAACAGCATTCTCTGCCCCCTCAGCTCCACTTACCTTTTTAGTAAACTTGGTCGTTTTGATTTCCACAAACGCAGCAGACACGGCCTTCAGGTAACTGCGCTGGTTGTTGAAGGTGACACGGCCAGACCCTGCAACAAGCCAGACACCAGGGTCACACTGAGCCAGCACCTGCAGCAGGATCTGGTGGGGCCTCTGAGGGAGCTGCTGCCAGCACCACCCACCCCCTGGCATAGCTCAGCCACTGGCTGGGCAGCAGCTTTTACCAGGAGCTCATAGCCTGGTGGCTCTGCCTGCCTCCTTCCCCAGGCAGGAACAAAAGCCTAGCAGGCAGCTGGGAGCAGAAAGGCTTTTCCAGGGACACCTCCAGGCTGGGGAAGATGTGAGCTTATGGGCAGCAGCACATGGAGGGAGGCTGCCAGGGCACTGCTGAGGGCAGCACAGCAGCAGGCTCCACGCCTGCACCTCAAATAAGCTGGTGCCAAGACAGCTGAGCAGCTTTTATTTTAAGCCTCCCACTCATCCCAGAGCCTGGCATTTTGCAGCTTCCCTGCCAGTCAGCAGCATTCCTACACCACTCACTTCCAGCCAAGTTTTATTAAGCTCCAGGAAAACATCTCTGTGCTTACCTATGAGTTTCCTTCCTCAGTGGAAATGGCCTTGGCTGTTACAGGGCAGTCCTGGTTGCCCACAAAGCACCACCCACACCCCACCCACCTCTCCTGCAGCAACACACACAGGCTGGAGGGTCTGGACCTGCTCTGGGGTCATGCTGGGCACAGGGTGCTGTGCTCAGGGGGCTCCTCCCTCTAACAGGGTTAATTACATCCCCAAAAGCTGCCTGTGCAACAGCATTCTCTGCTGCCTGATGAAGATGAGCTGCCTGTGAGAGCAGGCCCTGGTGTCTTGCACCATGTGCTCCACCCAAGATGGTTCAGCCCAAGGCAGGTTACACACAGCAGCCTTTCCTCAAGGAGCCTCCTGCCACACCACAGGCAGCAGCCAAGCAAGCCTAGGGCAGCACCTCAGCACAGGAGATGCTTCCAGCAACGCTAAACAAAATCAGTTACCACAGTTGGGTTTCATGTGACTAATGCTAAGACTTCAAGGGGGGAAGTGCCAGCCTGTTGCTGGGAACCAGAGATCCCACCTACCAGAGGGAACAATCTGGACTCTGCATGAAGTTACAAGAGGTTTCAAGGTCATGCTCTAGGACCTCCCAGTGGACAAGACTTGTTCCACACCCATTCAGGAACTAAGAATTTGTTTCAAGTCTCGTACTTCCAACTTCATGGGACTCTCCTCCCAAAGCCACTGCAAGGGTAAGGCACTGCAGCACCATGGTCCTAAACCCAGGCACCAAAGCCTTGTCCAGAAAAGCCCAAGGCCAGCAAGGAGCAGCAGGTAGCTCTGTGCTCCCAAACTCCATTGTCATTCCTGCCTGGCAACATGCAGGACACTCATGACTTGCTGCAGGCTGAGCCTGGAAAGCTGGACCTCATGCTCAAGGCCCAGTACCCTGAAGGGGACCTGAATAGGATGCTGCCCACAAGTGCTGGGTAAACTGAGCTGCGCACAGCCCTGCCCTGCTGCCCAGCAGCTGGCATGTCCCCAGCAGGAGCCAAGGTAAGACCCACAGACAGTTCTGATGGAAGAGCAGCTAAAGCCCCATCTAACAGCACTGAACCAAGACAGAAAACCCTTCAGCAATGCCAAAAGGTAAAAAACCTTCAAGCTGCTCAACAGTGATCTAGGACCTTCCAGTTCCCAGGAACACAGGTACTACTAGCCCTCTCAGAGGTGCCCTGGGCACTCTTCTCCATTGAGGGACCAAGCAAGGAACACTCCTGCAGCCTCAGGCCGTGCTGGGGGGGAGGGTGACACCACTTACCAATCGGGTACTTGTGCTTGTCCGTGTCGATGCCAGCATAGACCACCCCCCCAAACAGGTCATACATGACAGCTGCCAGGGCCTCTGCGTTCAGCATCCCGTGCAGGGCCCCCACAAACACCGTCTTGCTGGGGTCCAGCCGCTGCGAGGGGCTGCGCACGAAGTTGCTGTCTGCCAGCACCCAGGGGATCACCTGCACCTGGAACCAGACACCACGGGTCAGCTCGGCACAGCCCTCCGCAGTGCCCTCGGCTGGCAGGAAGCTTAGCCCACACCCACGGATTTTGCCCCCAGCTTGCAAATGCTCCCTTAGTTATTGCTGCTCAGGGTCTGCCTGCAGGGCACCACAGCTCGGGAGCTCCAGACGCTTCAGGAGAGCCTACGAGGCCTGTTCCAGGGTACAAAACCAACTGGCACACACGCTGCTTGCAGCCAAACTGGTCCCTCAGGGCTGGCAGCCAGGAAACAAACCATGCACAAGTGGATTTCACTAACTGCCTGCACCTAGGTTTACACCCAGTCAGATGAAGCCTGCTGTTGGAGATCAATGCAGCAACCCACCTGCTGACAGCTTCAATGGCAGCTTCCACCTGCTGGACATCCAGGGCTCTAAGAAGGAGCAACTTCTGCCAGAGCTAAATCACCAAGCACAGAAGTGCTGCCAATAGCCACAGGGAGAGCTGTCTGGGGTGCAGTTGGCTTGTGCCAGTCTAGATAAGAGCCAAATCTCAATTCTTTAACTCCACAGAGTTGTTCCTGATCTATGGTTAAGGTTTTCTTCATCAGGAGGCCAACCTGAGACCCTGCAGCCTCAGCACCTCCAGAGCTAGGGTCAGCCAGCCAAGGCTGTGCTGGGGAGCAGCTGCAGACCCAAGCTACCTGCAGTGAGCACAGAAGCCACCTGTTCCACAAGCAGACAAGGGCAAGTCAGCGCCAAAGGGATCCAAGTCTGCCTCTGCAAGCAAAGCTGAGCTGAACAAAGTAACCAGTGAAATCCCTATTGCAATGATCCTTTCCAGGCAACCAAAGCTGCTTCACAGAGTCAGCATCTGTCACAGATCCAGTAGGTCCAGTTCACAATTCCTGGCACAAGGTGTTGTGAAGGACACAAACACCAACCTGACCCTTCCCTCCTCACCTGCATCCAGCCCTACTGCAGGGACACATCAACTAAAGATGGCCAAGAGCAAATTTGACTTCAGCTGCTCTACTTCAGCCCTGCCTGGAGCAGAGTAAGACTGTGCACCCTCTTGTCTCCAAGGGACTCATCACCATCCAACCCTGTTGTCTGTAGGGATCCTCTCCTGGGTCTGCTCACCTCTTTGCAGCGCATCCTGCGGCTGGACATCTTGAAGTAGTACTCACTGAGCCCATCTGGGCTCAGCAGGTCCTGGGAGCAGGCCTGGAGCAGAGCACGCACAGATTTCTCCGACTCAAACACAAGGTAGACATACCCTTCGTGGGGAGGGGAAAGAAACAGTTGTTTCAAGTGTAGCAGAGACCAACAGATCACCCCAACTTGCAGACAACCTCAAAAATCACTTGCAGTTGTCACCCAAAGTACCTGTGCTGCAGCCCCAACCCCTCTCCAGGGGAGGGCAGTGATTTGCAGCACCTGCC